CATATATTAGTTGCCCGATATTGTTTAGAGTTGAATTCCAGATTGCATAACTAAATGTTGAACAGTATTGACAGATTTTGATTTTATACTTCTCTTAGAAAACCTGAAAATGTGCTGAAAAATGAAAACCAGGGATACAATCTACTTTCACATAAGGTAAGAATATGTATTGAAAAACCAAAATGTAATTGAGCACATAAACATTGTCATTAATTATTTTAGAGTGACTTGTTTGCAAGACTCTCGAAAATGTTTCAGATGAAAATACATAGCTACATGACATTTTTTTAAGGTCAGAATCAACTGAAGTTCATTCTCTAAGAATCCGTTTATGCTGACAAACATCTTTACAAGCATCCATTAGTCTGCTTCAGGGCAACTGGAAAGATAAACTGTATTACTTTTCTCATTTTGTAAAATATTATTATGATAATTTTAATAGAAGTAGCTACAGGAACTGGAAGTCCATTTCAACATCTAACTTTTAAGGCATTTTACAAATTTTATTAAGATTAATATTTTTTCATAATTCCATTAGTAAAACCTGAGATTTCCCTAGTATTACAAATTTCTTGATTAAAATTTGATAGTAACTACAATAAAAAGTACATATCATAAATATATTTATTTTGTGCATGTTTTAATGTATTTACTTGAGATTTCATATATTCCTCTTAGAAGTCTATAGACTTTACAAAACTAGCAAATGTGCTTAAATAGCAATTGGTGAGTTCCACTTTTTACTTCTTTCAATGTGGAAAGGCTGAGAAGTAAGGGGATGAACTAATTGTCATTCACTAGACTTATTAATATATAGGCACAATAGTTGCTAACGGTGCCCATAATGGGTTTCCACCATAACTGAACTAGGGTTGAACTTGGTGGATGCTCTGGCAAGTTTTCAAGTTTAGAGGACATCAATCAGAATATGTTCTACTGCCACCACACAGATCAGCCCCTCTTCTTCAAACAACATTGAATCTTCCCTTTCATCCGGATAAAAAGCAATATATTCACTACTTCTGGCAATGAGATAAAGGCAGGATTGATGCCATTTGGACAAGTCAAATTCAGCAATTCAGCATCAAATATATAATAAAGTACAGCATTAATAATCTGGAAAATGAAATTAAATTACTAGACCAAATAATGAAAAATAAGACTTCATGGTCTGATTTTCATAGGCCTTCCTTTCTCTTTTTGGTGCAAGGGATAGATGGATGTGCTCATTTTCTGCATAGAACACAATTTACAAAACAAAGATTTTTCCAGTATCATGTGCTTTCATTAAAATAGCTTCATTTATTGTCTGCCTTGCAGCAAGTTCCTCTCTATTTTTCTTTTTTCTTAATCCTGGGCAAAACAAAAAATGAACAGCAGTTTTACATTTTACTGCTAACCATATTATAAAATTTAATTATATAATTTTACATACAATTTATATAGTTTTCTCAAATAAGGTTGAAATTTCGGAAGTTCTGTTGGCAGCAGTTTAAGAAACAGAAGGATGTGAACTGGTATGTGTTTTGAGAAGGCTTCATTCAGTATCTAAATTTGGATCCTAATTGACAGTGTGCTACGTTAATTCTAGAAGATTTCTTTTTTCTCTCATACAGCCAGATGTATCTCGTTCTGTATCCCGATGGAGCATGAGAAGACAGTGGTGTCCCAGCTGCTTCCTATCTAATATGTACAGAGCTTTTAGGAATTCACATTTCTTCTTGCAAAAGAAGAGAAAGAATTGCAGGGACCTTGATTTTTGGAAGGTAACTGTTTAGACTCATTTTTATCAGAAGCAGCTATTGTACAGAATCACATTCTAATCAGAAATAATGGTGCATATGTAATTTCAGGATATGTTTTATAAGATATTTGATTCTGTGCTACTATATTTAAGAGAAAGACAGCTTTTTGCAGAGTATGACTGCTTACCCAGCATTCACATGCTATGTCTGGATAGTTAATGATATCATTATGTTCAAGATTCTTATTAAAACAAGCTGAAGCCACAAATAAGTAGTTGAACACAATATTTTAAATTATATTGCTTTAGAGTGCCACATTGCATTTGTAAGCACTCATCTAACTCTTCTACTTTATCTAAATATATTGAAGATTATCCCAAAAAGATGAGACTGAAGTTTTTTGTTTTTTGTTTTTCACCTTGATCAATCTTTACCTTAAAAATGTTGGATACTCTGGCGCCATCTACTTAATATGTTTTTATGTTTCAGTGAAGGCTATTCTTAATATGCCTTCTTCCTTTTCTTTCCGCCATGTAAATAGCCCTTACATTGTCAAGAATTTTTACCCCCAGCACATCTATATTTAGAATTTTATTTCATGGTAAACGGGTCTCAAACAATATCCTAATATTTAATTTTTTGATTATAAGGACTAAAAGCAATTATGAACTAGCCACATTTTCTTTATCAAAAAAATTTTTTATCACTCTTCCATATGCAAATAACCTATTTCAGTCTTTGAAAAAGATACACGATTTCAGAATATTTGAAATACGAGGGGAAATTATTAAAGCTTTATCAGAGCCTATATGTGTAAGCTACACCAAATCCTTTTATTATTTTGCTAATGCAAATACATCTGTACACTTTCAAAAGAGTGTTCAAGACTAAGGTCATGGCAGATGTGGAGGAGTAAAATTCCTGAATAGAAAAAGATGTTAGAGAATCTTCTTTCTGAAGCATCTTGGATGTTTAGGGAACCAAAATGCATACTATTAGTAGGAAATACAAATACACACACACACACACACACACACACACACAGATTATCACTGGGTTACTTTAACTTGATGAATTGTAAATGGTGTGTTTTTGGTGTGCATATTTCAGAATACTGCCACCCAGTTGCCTTTGGATAGACTACAAGGGGCAGTAGACATAGAATTATATTTTGGTAAAACAGTATAGCGAATATTTAAACAGTCATCTAGGCTTCCTGCTAAACTAAGTAAATTCACGTTTGTAATGGTCTCTAATACATCAGTGCAGCTACTGTTCTGATGGGCCAAGGGTCAAATATGTTATGCAGGGAAAATAGAGGCTTACTGTTAATCAGAAACATCTAGAATTCATTTTAGATTTCTTTAAATAATAGATTTATAGCACTCTACCCTTTATCCCCAAAACCTGAAATGAGGACCTTTGGTAAAAGTGTTTCTAAATTTATTATAGAAGTCAAGTCTGGTTTATTTAAACCTTGCATCAACTTTTTTCACAAAATATATTCATTAGTACTATACTATAACCTCCTAGAATACTGAATTGTATGCTTTAGATTCCAACCTAACTTTTTAAGTACAAGTTCACCTTTCATCCTATTTGGTAGCATTTTTCTAACTGCTCAGCCACCTCTCACAGCCAAGGGTAATTGCATACTTGGACTAAACCTGCAAGAATTCTAAGCTTAAAATGAAAGAAGCTTCAGGGTCAGCAAAGACAGTTTGGTGAACGCAAGCCAAGTAGAGAAAGCAGGATCATTTTCCCTCTCGATTTATATCACTTTTGTTTGTACTAGCACTTGCTTGTTGTTATAGATATTTGTTGGTGTTTTTTGTTGTTGCTTGTTTGTGTTTTTGTGATCTGCAGGTTGGGAATGTGTTAAGTATATTCAATACTGAATAACTTGACAAACAATAGTCAAAATATGTTTTCCCTTTTCTTGAGTCTTCACAGTGAAACCAAGTGTGGATTGTGTTCCTAACAAAGGGAGGTAAGATATAAGGAAGAAAAAAGCCAGATAATTGGTGATCAAAAAAATAGAAGCAAGACTCTTGCATGCTCTCCTTCATTTCCCGTCCTTTTCTCCCATTTTCTCTGACCTACTTTGCTATTAATAATTGATTTTTCACACCTGGAAACCACAAAACCATGGAGTAAGGTTCAGCCTGCAGAATTAAGTGTGAGTATCCAAGCTTCTTAGCCATTAGGAGCTGAAGTTTTCTTCAGCTTGGTCAGTCTTTGTTTCACCACCAAGGTAGCAAGTTTCAAGGCCAATAATGAGATCTGTATATATTCACTTGTTTCACATAAAGATAGAAGTCATATACATAATATATGAAAATATCAGGAGAATGCCAAGGTGCAATAACCAGAAAGTTCCCTTTTTACTTGGGATCTAGTGCATGGTCTCTTAGCCAAAATGCCCCCAGCTCCTTAAAAAATACCATTGATTAATTACCACTGATTTAGCATTGCCCTCTCCTGGTATGTATTCATCCTTCAGAGCAAATCTAAACCCACACTTCTTATAGCTCTGCAGTTTGCATTTAGAAAAAGATAATCACCTCTTCCAAAAAGATGGAAGAAACCAGAAATCCAAGAGCTTTGTATAATAACAATAATCTAATAATCTAATATTTTGAACGTTAAGGGTCTGATTCACAGCCTTTCACCTAACAGTAAAATTAGAGCTGGCAACCAGTAATGAACTGAGATGATTTCTTTAATCATTTTTATATAGATTTGGAGTAATGCAAGAGCAGGAACCAGATCTTGTCAACTGTGCACCCACGATACTAAAATCTGTATTTTGCACACAGTAGGTCTTTAATAATTATCATTGAATTGAACTGAATTTGCTAATACTCATCACCAAATATTCTTTTTCAGCTCTAGATGATTTAGAATACTTTCATGTTTTGTGGTTATAGTTCATCTGACCAATGAAATTACGTTTAGGAGACAGTAAATAAATTATACTGAAACTTTCCTTCAAGTAGAATTAAATTTACTTCACAAAATCATTATTTTTGAACCTGAGCATTCTACAAAGTATAAGCCTAATGAGAAGGAAAAAATACCACAGCATCCTTAAACATAGATCTAAAACTCAAGTCAACTAGTCAAACAGGACCCTGTAGAGATTGGTTTTGTGACTAAAGAATACTGTAGTATTTTCTTTCTTAGAAAGTAGAAAATCTAATTACCTTCAAGTTTCTCACATTTGAGCCATACTACAAATGAGTTGTGTCCAGGTACAGAAAAACCAACAATATTTTATTTATAATCTTATTTTTAGCTTTTTAACTACAAATTCTGGTTCTAGAGTTGTTTAAAAGTCATGGGTTTTATAGATGCTCATATGCAAATTAATCTGTTGTTTGCTTACTTTTCTTTTCCATAGAATGGTCTCCCTCATAAATACAGAACAGGTCATTACATGAAAAATAGAAGATCTTGCATTTTTTTCCTTGTTCTCTCTTAAAAATCTATTTCTAATATTGCATTCCCCATTGGATTACTTCATATGGGTATGAGGGAAAAAGAAAAAAATTAAAAAAAGAGAGAGAGAGACAAAATAGACTGGATCTCACCACTAGAATTCACCATAAAAATCTCAAAGTGTAACAGAATTCTTACAAAATTTCCTAGACCAGTTCTTTAAGGAATTGAGATCTGCTATGAAAAATATGGCAATCAGGGAAGGGAGGAACGAGATGTGGGAAAATAGTGAATAAGTGCAGCAAAAACAGGTTCTGAGGAATACACATAATTTTGTCTGCTTTAGATCACAATAGAATTTTTAATAAATAAATTTCTTTTCTTTTTTGTTTTTTTGTAAAGACACTTTTTTGAAACAGTAGATTTAGCCCAGTCATTTGTGTCATTTTTAATAAACTGTCTTTTTTTTGATTGTTTGTTTTTTGTAACTCTGTAAATGTTTTAGATTTGAGTCTCTTGTACATTGTCTTTAGAGTTCATTCGGATCAATAACGGTTCATGCACTGAACTGTGTATTGAATTTATTGTGTTAACTGTTGTTGTGTGGTTGAAGGGAGATTTGTATGAGTTATAGTGATTTAGGTGCTCATGCTCGATAGCAGGCATGGGCAGGTGGCTTTCCATGGGTGTGTCTCCCGTAATCTCATCATCCACATTAATTATTTCAACAGTCCTTGTTGGGGCGTGATGGTTTTGCCGATGGTGCTGCTTCCTCATCTTGTAGAAAATGACCAGCATCACTGCAGCCATGAGTGTGATGGCTACAAAACACCCAATGATGATTTTGGTAGTCTTCATGACCTCATCAATTCCTGGGATCCCACTGTTTATATCAGTCACTGGGATGGTGAAGGTTTTCTCTGTCGATCTTGTGCTCTGTGGCGTGAGAGAGGTGGTCACATTGGTGGTCTCCCAGTCGACCACTGGAGTGGGACCCACATTGTTATCTGTGGTCCGTGCCTCATCCTGAGACGGTTCCATAGTCTCTACTGTGACAGTTGAAAAGTAGGAGAAAGGAGTAGTGGTTGCTGCAGTAACATTCAGGGTGGCTGAAGCAGTAGTATTCCCAACGGAATTACTCACCATACATGTGTACATGCCTGTATCTTGCACGGTTACATTTGTGAAATTTAACGTACCATCACTGAGCACAGCTATCCGCACTTTGTACGCCCCATGTGTCATGACTGTTCCATTTGGAGTAATCCAAGATACAGATGTCAGCGATGTGGAAGCCCGACATTTCAGCTCAGCTGCCATGCCTTCAGTGACATTGAGGTCTGCAGGGGGCTCCACAATCACCGGAGCATAGCATGTGAAGTAATTCTGGTCAAGCTCTCCAATGTACCTCCCCTTTAGATTGGGAGGAGTGTTACACCGGGCACAACAAGCTGTGTTGGAGGGGGCCATGTCTTTTATCCACCAACTGAGCCACAGTATGTCACAGTTACAGTTCCAAGGGTTGTGATGTAAATGTATCCGCTCTAGATGATGCAAGGGAGTGAAGAGGTCATGAGGCAGTAATGTTAGATTATTGTGTGCCAGGTTGATCTCCACTAGTGACTGAAGGTTGTCAAAGGCATTCCGTTCAATCACTTGAATCTGGGATTGTATCATCCACAGTTTTTGAAGGTGCATCAAACCCTGGAAAGAGCCAGGCCTGATGGCAGATAAATGATTCCCAGAAAGATCCAGCTCATCTAGTTTTATGAGCGGCGTGAGGTTAGGGATTTCCCGAAGGTTGCACATGGCAAGGTTCAAATACCTCAAGTTGGACAGACCTTCAAAGGCACCTTCTGAGATATATGAAAGTCTTTTCAATTCCCCTAAGTCTAGTCGGCGCAAAGAAGGAATTCTGTTAAAAGCATAAGAAGGGATGCTTTCAATGGGGTTGTTTCGCAACCAGAGCTCCTTCAGTTTAGACAAGTATACAAAAGCTCCATTCGGGATGGTAGTAAGACGATTGTCAAAGAGTTCCAGAGTGTTGAGGTTTGCCAGACCATTGAAAGCCCCAATTTCAATGGTTCTGATATGGTTCCTACTCAACTGTAGGATTTCCAAGTGCCTCAAGTGCTTGAAACTGTTCACTTTGATGATCTGGATTTGGTTCTCATGGAGGTTCAGCAGCCGTGTGTTGGTGGAGATGCCATCCGGAACCTCACGCAGGTTTTTCCGAACACAAATCACCTTGCTGAACTGGTTGCTGCAGGAGCACACAGAAGGGCAGGTCTGAGCCCGCACCAGACCAGCCACCACAAGAAGTTGAAGAGCCAGCAGCACCACAAGCAGGGGGTCAAATAGGGCCCTGTTAAACCTAGGACCTATCATTATCTGCTGTGGATGTAAGGTCATCTTGTTCAACATTCATAATTTATCTGGTGTTGGTCCTTCTAGAATTCAAACAGTCTGCAAAATAAAAGCAAAAAACAATTATTAGATTAGATTAAGTATCTTTCTGGAGTAATGTCAGTGATATAGTGTATCAGCTAAAGCCATTATTTGTCAGACAAATTAAAAACAAATCTAATATCCTTTATTAAGCTGTGTGGTTCATATTTAGAGGAAAATGTACCTTTAATCCAAATTAGGAGCCATCCAAAGCCCACATTCCATGAGATGTATAACCACAGAGTAAGGGATCAATGAGGTAGAGGACACTAATGTATTGTTTACCAATCAAATGTGGCCCAAATGCATGAGGACATATAATATATATCCCACCACTAGCTTCAATGCCCACAGCAGATTGAAAAAGTTTAGCAAATAGGACTTTGGGGCTATATCAAACAAACTAAAAGCTCCTTTGCAAAAGTAGTAATAGCTGACATATTATATTGAAGGTTATTTTATGTGCCAAGCACCATGGGCTATATACTTCATAAACAAGCCTGTCTAGAAGTGGTTACATAATTTGTGGTTCCCAGTGCAAAATAAAAATGTAGGAAGCCTTATAAAAATTATTAATAATATCAAATCAGTAACAAAAGACCACTAAACCAAGTGTGGGTCCATCTTAACGTGGGTTTCTTTGCAACTGCACAGGTTGTAGGCCCATGAAGCTGGTTGTGATCCCTTGTAATCCTTACAACACTTCTCTGAAGTAGGAATTGTCATCCTTTTCATTTTCAAAATGAAGAAATATCATCATAGAAGTGACATTCAAGAAGTCACATGTTTAGTAAGTATAAATCAGGGCTCAGATGCTCATTAGACTGGTCCCAGGGAATATGATCTCACATGCTCCATAAAAATGTTGCTATTACAATAAAGGTAAATGCAAAATATTTTTCACTAATTTCTTTAAAATACCTGTCCTTTAGGGGTGACCTCAGCTGTAAGCACTGGCAACTTAATTTATGGTACCTGTGAAGATGCACTGAAAGAGTGACATGCACATGTATATATAAACTTCTAGAGATTCTCATATACCGACTCATTATAACATAGCTGACTGCAGCCTATAAGCAGACATACCACATATTAACTATTTTCCCATGAAACATAATTTTTATTTACAGAAAAAAAAAGTATAACAGGACTATTAAGTCTTGTGTCCCTACTCTTACTGGTTTTGAGTAGATTTTTGGGAAGGAAAATAACTCATCTCCTACATTTCTTGTGGCCACAGGAAGTCTTCCAAAGGAGCTTACGTTGTTACCTAGTATACGCCCCACTCAGCTGGCTTATTGTGGACTGGGCACCTGTGTAATAACTTCTCCCAAGTCTCTCAACTTAATAAACAATGTGTCTTCTATGAATCTCTTGGAAAGAAAAAAAAAGGGGGGCAGTGAGAGGGGTCACCACATTTCAATTCAAAAAGGTACTAATGTAGGACCCATTATGTGTCACCTGGAGCAAGTTACTTATCCTTTCTGCGGCTTAATTTCTGTCCCACTTGCAAAATGGGAATGAAGATATTAATATTACATACCACATAGGGTTGTTGTGAGGATAAAATGAGTTAATACAGAAAAAGGACTTAGAACAATGCCTCCCACATGGTCAGAACTCAATAAATGTTAGATATGATTATCATATCATGATAGATTATACAAAATATTTTAAATATGAAATATTAATTTCATTATAAATATTAATTTCATAAATAATAGTAATTATGGTAATAATTATAGATTTAGAGTTATAATGAAATGTTAATTTCATTATAACTATTTTTAATATTAAAATATTTTAATATTAAATATTAAATAAATATTAAATTTAGTAATAAATTATATTAAAATATTTATAAGTTTGAAATAACAAATATAATTCTATTAATATATTAATAAATATAAAAATATTTTATTATAAAATAATCATATGTAACATTTATTGAGTTCTGACAATGTGGGAGGCATTGTTCTAAGTCTTTTCTGTTGTTTCCCTCAACCAGACATTTTGCTAAGTAGTGAGCATATAAGGATGAGGAACAGAATCCTTACCTCGGGAGAATTTAAATTTAAAGGGTGAGACAGATAGGCAAACAGATGAAGTACAATGATATATGTTCATTGCTATGACAGAAGTCCACACTGGCACAAGAGCACTAACATCGGAGCAACTTAATCTATGCTGGAAAACCACGGAGGTTTCAGAGAAGACGGATATCTGATCTATATTTTGTAGAAGCTGCTAAGAAAAGGAAAGAAGGCCATTTTAAGCACGGAGGGATCAGCTGAACCAAGGCAAGCACACGTGAAAAATGCTAGTACATCCAGGGAACAGTAAAAAGTGCCCTCTGTCAGAATGGAAGGCCTGAGGACGAGAATGAGAAAGGAAGCTGGAATGAGATCGGGTAAAGACTCTTAAGGGTTGGTTACGTCAAACTTAAGAGTCCCAATTTTATAGTGCAGGCAACATGTTTTGTTTTTAGCAAAGAATGCTATCATCGGCTTTGTTTTGATAAATGATGATGTGAGGTTAACATGGGGCAGAGACAAGCAATGGAAGAAACTAGTGGCAAGCAGAGCAATTAGGAAGATCTTCCTGTTGGCTCAAGTGAGTCTTGGAGAGAAGCCAATGCCAGAGAGCGATCTAGTTTCAAAGCCAGCACTTCCTTGTCTACCACCGGAGGGTTTGAGGAAGAAGGGCTGGCTCCTTTTTAGGACATGATCCTTTCACTAGTGAGAAATAGTTGCATTTACTAAATAGCCTACAGAAAGTGGAGAAGAGGCTTTTTTCCCTCAGTAATAGGAGACGCACTCTTAAGGAAAACCAGCTGCCATTAGCAGTCCTTAAACATATACCCACATTTACAAAACCACTGTAAGGAACCTTGGTCTTAAGAAGGTGATATTTAAAGTCCTTGATTTGTTTCTGGTTTCAGAGGCTTTTGTGTCCTTTTCTATGACAGCAAAAATACTTGACTAATAGATTCTGAGTTACACTAATTTTTTTCCCCAGCCTTCTAAGGCCAACCAACTTGCTTCCTTCCTTGGAGCTGTTGCAGTTCTAGGTTGACTTTTCACACCAGCTGGTACTGTGATTATTTGTTTCTGGGTGGTTTCCTCCATCAGCCTGTGTACTCTGTGAGAACAGGGGCCATGTCTGATGGATTCCTCTTAGCCTATTGCCAACACAGTGCCTGGCATACTGTAGGCACAAAACAAAAAGATATTGAAAAATGTGCAACAAAGCAAATATCTAATCACAGCCCTTTGCATATATGTAGTCACATGTTCTAATGTATTAATCATGCCTTTTTATTTTTTGTGTTTTCTGATGTTCTAACATTTGAGGCCTTGCTGAATCTAGAGAGGCTACCCTTTCAGGGCTAGCAAATTCCTAGAAGTAGTCAAGCACTTGCCTATAAGCATGACTTTCATAAACAAACCAGCCAATCCAAAGGTCAAAACCCCAGCCACCTTCTTTATCAGCTTCTCCCAACACTCTTAACACTCAGACCACCATTCCCCTGCCCTGATCACCCCACGTCCACTTACCACTTACCAGGCAACAAGGGACAGCCCCTATGTCCTAGAGCCTGCCAAAATTATTCAAACTAGCCAATCACAAGCCCATTTACCCTGCCTTCCCCTAAAAACCACAATAAAGACTCTTGCCCCCATTTTCCACTGGCTGCTCCCTACTGGCTGATCCTGCTGCTTCCCAGTGTGGCCTCCACATGCCGTGTCATGCCCCCCCCCCCCGTGAGTTGTGAGTAAAACATCACTTTTTAAACAGCAGCCATCTCCTGGTCTGTTGCTTCACTATAGCTAAATAATAATAAAACCTGAATTTTAAAACAATGACTCAACAAAAAGGCCTGGCTCATCATGTCAATCCTGTTAACAGGTTTTATAGGACTACACCTCTGTCCCATTTATATCATGACAACAATGTGGTTGGTAGGTTTCACAGCCTAAGTCAGATAGAGTTATCCTCCTTGTAAATTTAAATATGGCCTTAAATAACTTTTTTATGTTTTCATTATCAATAAAAAGCTATCCAAATTTCCAGTAATAATGACCATCGAAAATTTATCATTTGAGTGATTTAGTGTAGTTTTACATATGCCCTCTCTCCCTGAAACAGACATAGGTTTCAGGGGGAGAGAGCATATGTTATTAAGGTCATTGGGCATAAAATAACATAGCATGCAAAATCCCTGATACATAAACAAATTAACGTTTTTACTGTTGGGGTCCCAGGGTCCAGCTCCTCTAAGCTTTCTCCCATTCCCTACCGCATAGCCATCCTTAGAATCCTAGGGTCTCAGGCAAAACAGGTAGAAATAACTGGTTGACTGGAAATAACACAAAAGTAAAGAAGATAATTCCTTAGTCTGCTGTTTGCTACCTTTTTCCTTTTAAAATATGGGGCAATAAAGGCAGCCATGCTCAGTGATCAAGAGAAAAGGGTCCAGTGTGAGACTTCTTGAGATCATATCCCTGTTTGACCCTCAATGACCTTAAAATTGAGAAAGTTACTTGATCTCCCTATACTTTACTTTCCCCATCTGTGAAAGAACAACACTGTTTTCTACTCAAAAGGCTTTGGTTAGAGCTGTCACAAAATACTGTGTATGTAAAGTTACTGGCTCATAAGAAGCAATATATAATAAATATTTAATACATATTAAAAATAAAGTGATGGGACACTCAGTTTCTTCCTATTTTATAAGGCAGGAGCAACAATAATATATCTTATTCAAATTTGTGGTAAGGATTACTTGATATATTCAGGAACATACTATCAGTAAAACACATGCAACAATGATATAGTGCTATTAATTATAAGGTATGTGCATCTATTCTTTCTTACTCTCCAGACTGAGTTTTACTTTCTACTTCTTGCTTCAAGGTCTTTGTGCTATTGCAATTAATGAGATTTTCTATAAATCAGTCATAAGTAATGCTTTAAGAATTATAGCTGGTTCAAAGCTAATTTATAACCTACAGCGA